TCTAGTGTTAAAACAAGAACAAATTGTGCTTTAAACATTTTGCCAGCATTCTTTATAGTGAGGTACTCTACATAGCAATGTGTGTGTGTGTTTTTATACTTCCTACTGCTACAAGGCCCGAATGCTTTTGAAAAGCTCCTTACGAAAAGTTTTATTTTTTTGCTTTTGCCCTGAATGGGAATGAGATACATTTCTACCCAAGACATTCTGTGTGTGCAGGCTTTATGTGGAAAGGAAACTAACGGGTTATGGATTGAAGACACAAACTTCAGGCATGTCCCTAGTTTTGCTCAGTTTGCTTCTAAACTTATTTTCTTTGAATATTAAGGTTTTGTTGACATATCCTTATCATATTCTATGTCAAAGAATCTCAGATTATGAAATAACAGTAAATGACGCAGATAACTTTTTTCATCATATTTCCATTAGGAATAGAAATAGCTTTTATAAATAACATTAGGAGCTCTTTATGTAAGGACTGAAGAATATGAGGAAAAAATACCTGTGGCCATTTGCACTACATGTGCTGAGTGCTGATGCCAATAAGTTTCTAGTGAGAAAGTGGAACTGTAATATGGGTAATAATGTCCCTATTTGAGCCACAGGAAATGGAATTGAACATATTGGTTATTCTAGTTCAGCTCTTTCATGTTGGAGTACGTTTTTGAAATTCATTTGTTCAGAAACCCTAAAAAGTATGCAGAGAGGTTGAACTGTCACCACACTGGTTTTAAATTTTGTCATTTCTGATGTATGTTTTGTGTCAGATATATTCTTTTGCTTGAAAATTTTGTTTAATTTCTGCCCTGCCCATCTAGTGGCAAACCACTACTCTGGGCAGTTTGCAACAAAATAACAAAAATTAAGAACAAAATGTAAATTAAAGACAACATACAGAAAATAAAAACTCTGCCCCATAACACCATCTATCGTTAAAGGACCTTAATCTAACTCCCAATAAAGTGGCAATAGTAGTGTCAGTTAAATAATAAACAGAATCAGATAACTAAGTAGTTAATTAAATTAGATAGGGAGAAGGTTTTCAAAGGCCTGGGTAAAGAACATGTTTTTAAATATTTTCCAATCCATAGGAGGGTGGGAGCCAGAAACACTTTCACTGGCAGAGAATTCTACAGCAAGGTGACCACCACCGAGAAGGCCCAGTTCCTGGTTAGAAACTTCTGGGCTTCCCTTGGGATGCTCCCCCCCTTAACATCAAATACTGTATTGGGTGGTATGGGTGGGACAGAAGGTTGATCTGAGGCAGAGGTACTCTGCCAGATAGCAAAGGTTCCAAACCATTCAGGGCTTTGTCAAGTTGGAGACTACTGTGTCCCTCCAGATGTTCTTTGACTGTGCCCCTCATAGTTGCTCACCATTGTTTATACTAGCCATGACTGATAAGAGTTCTAGACCAGAAACTTCTGGAGTAACAGAGTTGCAATCCTCTTTTAGAAACAAGCTTGTGTTTGCTGAAGAGTGCAGTAGGACATTACTGCCAATTTATGGTATATATCAGAGGTTGTCAGCCCCTGGTCTGCAGCCCGATGCCGGTCCATGGCCTGAGCCAGACCAGGCCACGGAGACAGACCTCCCCCCCATGCACTCCGCTCCCCACAGCTGCTTTGCGCGCACACACGTGTGCCAGCGTGAGCGCTCCCCTGCCCCTTCATGTACACGCCCTCCCTGCTTTGCACATGCACCTGAGAGTGCGCATGTGGGGTGCCCCGCCATCCTCAGAGGCTCAGCCGGTCCACGGTCCCAAAAAGGTTAGAACCACTGGTATATCACATTGAAATATTTTGTTGTAGTTGATACTGTGTTTCTGTAACAGTGTTGCCAGTGTAGATGTGGAGACAAAGTTGGTATCTGTGTCTGGCATATGGGCTGGCTTTTGTATCAGTGTATAGTCTGTTACATATTATGCTGTTGCCAATAAGAATTCATTTGGGTACTTGTTGTAAGCCAACAGAAGCCTGTTTATCACCCAAGGACAGTGAGGGAGAAGTGTCGTTGATGAGGGACACTCCTGATAATTAAATGTAGACAGTTTAGCTGGGTAGTACGAGTGACAATAAACAGTGTTCTGTAATTCTCCTGGTTCTGTCTTGTAGTTAATTAGTCCTGGTTTCCACCATAGTCTTATTGGTTGTTTCCCCCCCCTCACTTTATTGGGTTGGTATTGTCTGATTTCAATCCTTTAAGTTGTGAGTCTCTGATGAGCATGAAGAGCTATGGTTGTTTTGTAGGATTTGGTTGTGGATAACTGATTTGGTGTATTGCTTTGAATAGAAGCAGTCAGTAGATTTACATTATAAGATGATATTTTTATGTCCTTTATGTGTAACATTCATGAACCTGGTCTAGGTTGAGGTTCAGTGGTAGAATAAGAATTACTGAGGCTTTGGTAGAATTTTGTCAGGGCTCCACTAGTCCATATAATAGATATGTCTTAAGTATATCTCAGGTAGAAAAAATGGCTTTTGAGAACAGGTAAAATTTTCTTCTAAGTCACTCATGAAGAAGTTTGCATATTGTGGGCCTATGGGAGTGCTATTGATCCGAACATATGAATATGTACCCATAAAGTGGTGTAGTGGATTGATCGAGTGAAGGCCTAGGCCTCAGGAGGTCTCAGTTTGAATCACTGCTCAGCCATGGAAACTCACTAGGAGTGTGAAACTGGTAAAAACGCTCCCTAAATATCAGTACACAATAATAGCAGCAACTGAGTGACAAGGTCTGTTTGCCAGTTGTACTGCAGCATCACCAATGATGCTATTCCTGACAATCCATCTTTCTGGAGAACGTCAGTGTAAAGACTCCTTACACATCATAATTCAAAGTGTCTCTGGATTATAAATGGGAAACTGGGCATCCTATGTCTGTTGCCTTGGATTCCATAATGGAAGAAAGGTGGGCTGTATAAAGGTGATAAATAAAAGAAGTGAGTGTCAATCTAGTCTAATAGATTCTTCAGGCTGTGCTTGAAAGTCACCCTTTTCACCATATTTACTGATTGTGTGTTTTTAAATGGCCAATATCCCTTTCATTATTTATGTACACAGAACTCCAAATACAGAAACTACTGTGGAGATCTGATAAGTGTTGGTTGTGAACCTGGCTGTGTGCAACCAGTACCTCATCAGATTGTCGTGGTGATTTCTACACTTGGACTTTTGTATCCATGTGCCTATCAGACAGAATACCGGCTCCTGTTTCTACATTTACATACTTTGGCTAGTATAATTGTAAAATTTCATTGAGCCTTAATTTCTTACTCCTACCCATTAGATGGATATTCCTTGTTGTCAAATCTAGTAGCTATATAACATACCTACTATACTAAATTGGCTTATTAGTGGTTCAAGTGTTATTTCCTATAAGACAATCTGCAGGGTCAAAATGCTACATTTATGATTGATGAGTAATACTAGGATATTTTTAAAGGAAGGGGTGTGCACTCTCCTATTTTTACTAAATAACACTATCGCCTTCATTGTATGCACAGCATGTAATGCTCAGATGAAGCAACCTATGTGTACAAAAATCTCCAGACAAGACACAAAGCAAAAAATGAAATGCTAATAGAATAAACTGCACTGCAGAACACCTGCTTAATCATAAGGAAGTTCTGCTCACCTTGTCAGCTAAATTCTCCTTCGTGGTTGTAAATATTTGCTTATTAAGTGGAAGATTACACATTAAGGTCTTTCCTCTGCCACACATGTAACAGTGGTGTTAAGCAGTTCAGTTTCTACTGTAGCACTTTATGCGACAGTTTGTACAACTCAATTCAGTAGAGCTTCGCTTAAGACAATATAATTATTCAGATTTGTGGTTTTACCTTCTAAGAAAACATGCTACCTTAGACTTTTTAATCAGTTATTCAGTGGCAAATCAGCCACTGAATGAGATGTAAATCTCATTGATTCAGTCACTGTACTTTAGTTGAGACTAGAAGTTGGATTTAATCCTAATATCTTGTGCCCTGATTCTCTGACCTGTTGCATTAAATTGGTGAATTGGTCTAGAGAGAATACTAGGATGATAGGTTGACTATATGGTGGAGACTTCAGAGAATCTCACGTTCATGTGTTCCTTCTTCCCCTTTACAATGGCACCTCACTTAATGTTACCTCGTTAAACGACGAATCCGCTTGACGATTTAGGTTTTTGCGATAGCAAAACGATGTTCTAATGGGAAAACCCGCTTTACGATGATCGGTTCCCTGCTTCGGGAACCGATTTTCGCTTTACAACGATCAAAACAGCTAATCGTCGGGTTTCCAAAATGGCTGCCCACTGTGCAAAATGGCTCCCCGTTGTTTTTAGGACGGATTTTTCGCTATACAGGAAGCAGAAAATGGCCGCCCTATGGAGGATCTTCACTGGATGAGCAGGTATTTCGTCCATTGGAATGCATTGAACAGTTTTCAATGCATTTCAGTGGGTTTTTTTATTTCACTTGATGACGATTTCACTCTACATCTGCTGGAACAGATTAACGTCATCAAGCGAGGCACCACTGCAGTTGGTGTCTCTCTTTCTGGATTTCATGCAGTTTAGTTTGCCATGTCATCCAAACTAGCAAAATGTGACTTGCATTTGCCCTGGGACCCAGGAGCAGATCCCAGTTTACAATCCTGGTTTGTGGTGCATGTCCCAAACCATAATTGCCAGTATTTCATGAAACAACAAGCTGTGATTTGTCTCAGGCAAACAATGAGAAAAAGAACCACCAGCCATGAGAGGCAGGTGAAATGTGCAGGTCTGAGGCTTATTGGTATCTCATTTTTCTGGCTCCAACCTGGGTTTAGTGCTTAGCCCTATGTTCCTAGATTCATGACTGCCGTACTTGCAGAGAGGAACAAGAACGAAGAAGAGAGCCTCTATTATCCATAAGAACTCTCTAGATAAGAGTTGAGATATTGATTCTGCAGGGTATAGTGATGTTCATATGAAAAACCTGAATGGATAACAAAGACTCTCTTTTTCAGGCTTATCCTCCGTGTGCTGGAGAGCTCCAGAAAAAGAGGGAGCAAAGCTGGAGTGACCCCATTGACTTGTGGTAAGTATACTCGGTTTCCACATTTTTGACTAGAGCTAGTGTCTTACAGCAGACATCCCCCACCCCCCAGTCTGTGACCCGGCAGCAGTCTGGGGCCTATCCAGGACCGGGCCGCGGACACAGATCTCCTAACCCCCATTAGTGCCCCCGCGAGTGCTATCTTGTGCATGCGTGCGACCACGTTTTGCCTCTGCGAGTGTGCCATGCGTATGTGTGAGCATGGCCCGCAAGTGTGACATGTGCATGCATGTGAGCGTGTTCCACTCCCTGCGAGTGCGCTGTGCGCATGCACACGAGCTGGGCCCCCCAGAGCGCGACATGCATATGAGCAAGCTCCACCCCCTGTGGGCGTGCCATGCCCCCCCCCAACTGGGCCGTTGTTGAGAAAAGGTTGGGGGCCACTGTCTTACAGGATAAAATTAATGTTCCTAGTTTTGATCGGGGAGTGGGTTTGTAACTTTGTAACAGGTACTGCAGTGTGAGCAGTACACTGACTAACATTGTCAGAGTTCTTCCCCCTGCGTTTAAGTAGCAGATCACATTTATGGCCCTAAATATTATGACCTAACAAAGGCAGAGATGGGGAAAGCTAATTTTGGGGACTACATTTATGAGAAGCTTAGAGCCAGCAGGGCTCATATTGGTAATGGATCTCTGGGAGTGCTGGTCCAAAGAAAGTTTTTTTCCCCATTTTTAAGAAAAAAGGTAGTCTAGTGAGTTTTCAGTCCTTTCCGCAGTCAAAATGTCAGGAAGTGGTTGTTGACTAGAGAAGAAAAAGTCAAGATAGAATAGGTTGCTGCTATTCCCTTGGCTCTCATTTGATCCACGTTATACAGTACAGGCTAGAGGCAGTGAGGAAGGTTTCCCATTCCCCTATGGTAGAAGACAAACTGGTGATCTGTGTGCTTATGTGAGTTACCTGTGCTTTGGCTTTGGCTCTCTTCCTCTTGCTGGGATTTTTCAGATGCCTCAAACTGGCTGGGAGTGGGCCTTGACAGGGGAGACATGGTTGCTTTTCCTTGTGTTGTGTAAATATGAGGCTGCCGTATGAACTGCAGGGATATTGTCCTTGAAATATTTATAAATATGATGTATGTATACACACCGTTATTCTTCTATGTACTGTACTGCACAGTCAAAGTTACTTAGCTGTGATCTGTTTTTAAAGAAAGAGAATTAGGATAGACCCTTAGTATAATAATAGGTTGTGCATTGGATGAAATGTGATAGTATACGCACAAATTCCTGTTAAATATTTTGGGGGCTGGCATATATATCTGAGCATTTTAAGTTTATGAAAAAAGCCACCTAGAGTGGTCGTAAGACCAGATAGGTGGGATATTAAATAAATACTGTAAATAAATAATATGTAAAATTTTACATTGAGTAAAGCTAGCAACAGTACAGATGTTTCAACTAAGGGCTTGTCTACATGCCTATTTTGGAGTATGTTGGATTGAGCTAAATAGAGTCACTAGGAGATCTGGTGTGGCATTTGGTGTGATCCTTGTATCCATAGAGCATACAAAGCTCAAACAACCTTATTTGTCCCGCTGTCAATTTGCCAATATTGTGCAGTGGCTTAAGAAGAGAGCCATTTCAGGATATGGACAAATTAAATACTGTAATTCCTTGGCTTCATGGAAGGCCTTAGGAAGTAAATTTTTTAAAAATGGATTACAGTAGAGTAATGCATATGCATTAGAACACTTTAAAAAAAAGCTAAATAGGAAATGTCAAACAAAAATCCTTCTCATTGCCCCCTCCAATCTCCTCCCACTTCTGGCAGGAATTTTCCCATTTGTCATTTTTTCTTTTTAAGTGTTGCACTGATCTAATACACGTTAAACAAAATTCACTTCCTCAGCCCCTCCGCAGAACCAAGGAAATGTTTCATTTGCCAGTTGAAGCTCTCTTCTTAAGTCACTTCATGATATTAGGAAATGACAAAAAGGCTTGCTTTTGGTTCATTTCTAGCAATTGTGTGTGTTGGAAATGAGCACAACAGAGTGATCCTGCTCAGCCCCTAAAAGCAGAAGCATTTGACAGGGGCCAGAAAGGTGTGAGTAGGACCACTGTGGGGAGGGCAGGGGGGCTGGTTCAGTCTAGCAAAGACTGTGTCTGAACACAGTCTTTAGGAGTGAACCAGGCTGTCTCTGCAGCCAGTCAAACAGAAGGCTAAATGCCCATGTAGTCAGCCCCTAAATTTCCTTTTGTTTTCATATATCAGTAAATGGTCCCCACCTGCAGCAGTATGGTAAAAGTAAGTTAAACAGAAGATAAAACTTCTTGTTTGAATTTTTTAAAAGATACAGTTACTCGAATCACTAACAACCAATTAATTCTAATTTCCTGTTCACAACTGCTTGAACTATGTATTTTGCAATTGTGAAGCAGTTTTTAAAATATATATTTTGTGGTTTGAAAAGTAGTTCATAATTGAAATATTTCATCTTTGAAAACTGAGAATTACAGCAAAATGTAAGCAATTTGCACAAATGAGCAAGTACAACAAAGAAGGAAATATTCAGCAGTGGTATTTTGGGCTAGTGAAAGTTCCAGCTCCTTAAAGATGAAGGGGGACACAGAGGACTCCACTCTCTAAAGAGATTTTGAGTTTTGATTTCAACTCATCTGCCCAGGCACAGGTGATCTGAAAATGGAAGTGTTTGTAACCCAGAGCATGGTGAGCTATTTTGCTGACAAGTGGAGCATTTCAAAATAGGAAAGGTTGGTTGGGCTCAGATAGTAAAAAACAGCAACCCTCTTTGATCAAACATTATCATATATTTTTGCTGTATTGTGTCAATAGCTGTCATCTGTGGAGAACATGGTCACAACAATGAAGCTGAAAACAGATCACACGCATTAATTTCATTTTGGGAAACTTGCATTCCAGCTCACCTGAAATCTTGATGTCTTGCATATTCCAAATTAGTTTAACCTCACTGAAACATGCTGTGTACTTTCTCAGGCTCCTGTCTAGAATTAAAACCATTTGAGTTGCCTTTTATAACAGCTCTTACTGGGATAAGCAGATGACAAGTTTTCTTAAAGAAACCATTCTTTAGTCTCTTGCTAAAATTTGCTTTTAAATCTATGTATATTTGAATCATTTATGACATATTTCCATAACTGCCGTGGTGGAATTATATTTTGTACCAGGATCAGTCTGTTGTGTTTTTGGTCAGTTTCCCAGAACTTTAATCTGGCTTAAGCTAATTATTGGTGTTGTTGTTGTTGAGTTTAGGATATGATTGATTTGTGAAATAAATTGATGTAACTGAATAATTGCCTCAGAACCACTGTCATTAGAAACCTATTCAGAAGTAAGTCTTCCTGAGTTCCTCAGTATGTATAGAATTGCAGCCTGTGTGCTTTTATATAATTTGGCCCATTTATCTTAATTCATATTGCTTTTGGTAAACATAGTATTTAAGTGATATTTATTTACAGTAGTCTTCAGTTGTATTTAATTATTTTGTTTGTGCAAGTAGATTTTTTTCCAGGCATTTTGCCTTTTTCCTAAAGGAAGCCAGTATTGTTGTTTCAAATAGCCTTCCAGCTATTACTATTTGATAATAAACAGAAGGGATAGTCTCATTAATAAGAGAAAATATAAATACTTTTTAACCATTTGTTGTTTTTAAAAACCTTTTTTTCATACATCCTATTACATGGACTTGCCATTCACTTTGAGGTGAGCAAAAGATGCCTAGTAAATGCTTACAGCATGGCTGGACATCTTTGTTATGTATGGGGACCAGTTTTCTGCCCCAGACCCTCTGGATGCCTCATAGACCAGTAAACATTGGGGGGGGGAGGTAAGAAATGAAACTAAGAGTGGCTAGATGTCACTGCGTGTATTTTAGGATATTTGACTGTGCAGAGATGGGCTCTTTGACCTATTTAAAATGTGAGTCACCAGTCCTGGAGGCTTCCAAGAATAGCAATGTACACATTTTCAATTTTAAAAAAAAGGAGTGGGATGGCAGTATGTGGCCCCAGGACCATACTTTGCCCACCTCTGAACTACAACCTGTTATTTCAGTTGTCTCTCAACAATTTCCTGATTCTGTATAGAATCTTGATTATACCTTTTGAATCAACAGGAGAAAGCTGAGTGATAGATAGGCAACTGCTAATGTTTACTGTATTCAGTCTTAAACACATATACATACATACTGCACTAGATAGAGAAGTGTCAACGACAGCAGTACTGTAGTTTAAGGCTGAACCTTTCCCTCTTACATCTGAGTGCTTAGTTGCTGCAGGAAGTCACGTCTGAGGCATGAGGCTCCTTGGCTCGGGCCCCAGCTACATTTGGCACTTTTTCATTTCCCCCCCTCTTGACTCTTCAACAACAAACTTTTTTCTCTCTGTGTTAGCATTGTAGTTGAACTGCACTACTACCTGCACTGAAGTGACTATAGTTGCATTGTTGTGGAATTAGATTTGGCACCCTTCCTATTTGATCTTGAGAACAAACAAGATTTGAGAAGGCGTCAAAGTCTGTGTGTGTGTGTGTGTGTGTGTGTGTGTGTGTGTGTGTGTGTGTGTGTGTGTGTGTGTGTGTGTGTGTGTGTGTGTGTGTGTGTGTGTGTGGTGG